TTACAGTAAATATGATTACTGGAGTGGTCATTAAACACTGCCTCCTTGAACTCCTGGGCTCAAGCAATAAATACTCCTGCCTCAGCCTCTTGAGTAGCTGGGACTATAGGTGCAAGCCCCTGCACCTGACTCATCTTCTACTTCCCTTATTCTCTTGTAAGATACTGGGCCATAAGGACAATGGACACCTTCCAGCTTCTGTTTACTGCTTGTTTGCTAACCGCAAGGCATTATGAGTACATTATGGGATACAGAAGAAAAAGACAAAGAACGCAGAAACCAGAGTCTCTCAGCTAGGACCCAGAACAAGTTAGAGCCTATCAGGGGCAAGATAAAGTAAGAATCACTATGGGGGCGGATGCATGATCAGTGTGTGTAAACAATTTAGTTATAAAAGGGCACTAGCACACAAAGGAGGGTCCCTGCCTGAAAAAGAGGCCACTGCGCTGGCACTTTGGGGGCTCAGAACCTAGCTCTAGAGCTAGACAATAGAACTCCTTTGATAAACAGCCTCGGTGGCTCTGTCTTTCTGTCCTGAGGCCTTGCAAATCTCAAATATAACACTCTCTTAACAGTCTTTAATTTTTGTTTTAGGTACCTTTTTTTCCTAAATATTCTTAATCCATTTTTAAAAGTTTGTCAATAAATTTAATAAATTCAACAATTATTGACTATTTCTTGCTGTTATTATGCAACACTGGTAATAGTGAAAAAGACAGGCTTTGGCCTCGATAAGCTAGAAAAAAGATAGCTTATTCAGAAATTCCTAGGAGGTGCTTTATTTAAATAGCAGCTTAATAGGTGTATTTTGCTAAGCATACGAAATACTCATGTTTATACTTGAATTGGTAGTTAAAAGTCCTCATTAGGATAGGTTGTCATTAACAAAGTCTGCATGTTTGCTAAAGCTATTTTGTGTTAGGTTGAAAATTCAGGACTGAAAGCTGGCTATCACAAAATCTCTAAGGTAGCAGTGCGCACATACTACAGTTCCAGGCTTGGCTGTTCTTAAACGTCTACTGAGAGTTGTAAACCTTTCAACTTCACTCTGGGGAAGAGGTGGTATGTGAGAGATGACCAAAGTTTGCCCAGGGAATCTTTGGAGAAGATGATAGTTTGTCTGATAGATATAGATATTATAAAATGACTTTGAAAAGAGAAGGCTTTCCTGCTTTGAGTCTAGAAAGAAAAGAAAGCCTTTTCCAGTTGTTCATACTGTTCTTTCACAAAGAAGCCTCTCTTATGCTTCGTGCATCTTTTGAATGAATACTTAGTCCCTTAGAAATTGAAACTACTACATAAAAGTTTAGAAGATTGTAAAAACAGTGATAACCGATTACTTAAATGGTTGGCTGATATCGTTATTTATGAAAACATTGGAATTCATATGCGTCAACATGTAAGTTAAATGTATCTTTCCACAAGTTCCTGAGCTGACTTTTAAAAATTAGGTTTGTGAATTTTATTCTGACCTAGTTACATCATTTCCTGCCCTATGAAAGAGAATATAGTTATTGCCTGAATTTTTCTGGAACCGATTATCCTTTATGTGAATGTCCTTGTCTTTCATTCCTTCCTTCTCATTCTAACAGTTGGCTTTTGCTTATTTTACTGCTTATTAGCAAGTTTACTGTAATAGGCAGAATAATGGTCCCCACAAAGATGTACATAAACATCCTAATCCTCAGAACCTGTGAATGTGTTACCTTATGTGGCAAAGGGAGATACAAGGTTGCAGACCGAATTAGATCGGCTAATCAGTTTTCCTTAATTAGGGGGGTTATCCTGGATATGTGAGTGGGCCCTATATAATCACTGGATTCCTTACGTGTAGAAAAGGAAGGTAAAGAAAGGCTTATAGTGAAGCGACATGAGAGGGACTTGACTAACTATTGTTGCCTTTGAAGATTGAGGAAAGGGGCCACTAGCCAAGGAATTGGCAGATGGGGGGGCACCTCTAAAAGCTGGAAAAAAGCAAGGGAATGATTTCCCCTGGAGCCTTCATAAAGGAAGGGAGCCCTGCTGACCCTTTTGACTTTTGACACCTAGGGAGACCTATGTCAGATTCCCAACCCACAGGACTGTAAGATGGTAAGTTTGTGTCATTTCAAAGCCACTTGTGCTTATGGTGATGATTTGTTATGGCAGCAATAAAACCTAATATATTTACCAGTGTCGGAGAAAGGAAATGAAGGGGAAACTCAAGGCAGTCCACACAAGACAAGGTTTAATGGGGGCTGGAGTTGCAGCTCTTTCTGAGAGGAAGATACAGGCTGTCAGTTAATTTCAGCCCTTGTTCTCTATTTGTCATTAATCCAGACCAGGGGTCCTCAAACTTTTTAAACAGGGGGCCAGTTCACTGTCCCTCAGACCATTGGAGAGTGTGCACTGTGGGCCCGGGACGAGTCAGCTGCTAAGTAGAACTGGCAGCGGTGGCAAAAACACCCAGCAGGCGGGATAAATGTCCTAGGCGGGGCGGCATGTGGCCCGAGGGCCGTAGTTTGAGGATGCCTGATCCAGACAATCTGTAGTTGCCTGTTGCTAGTGTAATGACTTGAAGTAGACTTCCAAACAACATACCTTTTGTTCAGTCTGGCTCCAGTCCACTCACTTGGCTATTATCAGAGTGATCTTCTCATAGAACAGATTTAATCTTGTTATTAATACTTCTCTTTAAAGTCCATTTCATGGTTTTCCATTGCAACAGAATAAAGCCTAGAACATGCCATTCATGGCTCATCCACAAAGAAGTTCCTGCTACAGCCTTATGTCATACTTATCTGTCATATGCATTTTATGTTACGCCAAGGTAAAGTAATTACATTTGTGTACCCAGCATACTGTCATGCCCTTTTGCTCGTCATATATGTCATTTCTATCACCTTCAACACCCTCCCAGATTGTCTTATCTGCTGGTAAACCCCAGTTGAGTTCAAGGCTCAACTCAAACATTAATTCCCAGGAAAATACAGGAATCTTCTACATCAAATAAAATTGTTTGCTCTGTCCTTTTGTGCCACATTGTGACTTGTACACCTTGTGATATTAAAATGATTTCTTGCCATTTTATTTTCTTACACTAGACTGTGAGCTTCTTGTGGGCAGCACCAGAATCTAATAACGTATCTGTGGGATCTTAGTAATTCGCATAGGTTATATAGTAGGGACTCAAGAAATAAATACTCAGTGAACGTGTGATTATGTTAACCAGCCTGGCCAGCATACCACAGAGATGCCATTAGAATGCAGGTTTCTAAATCTCAGGCCAATGTTTGGTTGTATTTTTGCCTTTCAAACTTAAGCATCATAAAAAAATTTTTATGCCAAAAAAAAAAAAAAAATTTTTATGCCTATGTAATAATGTTTTTCATTTTAAGTATAAGTAAAATTTAGACTGTTTTGTTTCATACTACTTCCCTTTCTGTACTATAATTTAACACTTGGTCATTTCATAATTTTACTATATTAAGAAAACATCAAAACACCCTCTCTTTAATTTTGTCATGCCTCTATTTGGAAGAATTATTTTATGCAAAGTATCTACTTTTATTATTAAAGCATTGAGAAGACTCAAATTTAGTTTCATGGCAAGTATAAAATTCATTTGGCTTTAAATATTTGAATTTTCTCTCAGCATTTCTTTTCCCTGCTTTTTTTTAGATTTCGTATTCAGTTAGTTTCTTCGTGATTGCATATAGATTTGACCTTGCTGCATAGGTCTTTATGAAAATGTATACAGTCAAACGTGGAAACTGTAAAACAGTATTCAGATGGAATAAATTGTTTTCATAATTTTTATCATCACTTTACACTCTGACCGCAAAATATTCACAATTTTCATGATGATGGGGATAATTCCACAAGGAATTTCTGTTTTTACAACAGCTGTCAGAAATCAAAGTCTTAAAATGGTTGGCATAATTTTTAGTGTGATCAGTAAAGCACATCTTTCATGCTGCATAGTAATTTATAAGTTTGGTTTACTAATTTAAAAAAGGAAAACACTTTTTATCAAAATGAACAAGTCCATATTGGTGTTACTATTTTACATAAGAGCCATTATCATTAATTTGAAAATAGAAGTCATTGATGAATCAATGAGACTTTAAATATATTTAAAACATTTTATTTTTGAAATATTGTGAAAACTAGGCAAAGCCATGATTCAGAATGTATCTTTAGGATTTAAAGTCTATCACATTTCATCAGTGACTCCCTGGGAGTATTTTGCTTTGTTTGGGTCAACTTTAAAGAAATCAGCTGATTTAGCTACCAATATTTCCAACGTAAAAGAAATGTCCTGTGAGAAAACTATCATTCCTAAATGTGCCAGACATATCTTTCATTGTGCATCAACATACTGGCATTATGGTTTTTTAAGAGCCAGTCTCTAGTGAATTCATTTAGCACAAAATGAGTCTACAGAGCCTAATCTCCAGGAACCATAAACCATTCTTGTGTATATCATGTCAGTTTCTCATCTGCTTACACAAATGCCAGATATATTCTGACCATTCTTACTCTTTGTCGTCTTTGATGAGATTCTTTACTTGTAACAGATTTCTATCATTATATCACATTTCCATATTATATGCAGTGAGTCACTTTGTTATTTTAAAGACATTAATTCACAGTGTATAATGACTTCAGATTCATTCCATGGACTTGGAACCTACCCTTGATAGTTTTAGTGTAAGTGCCGGCTACCGTTTTACCTACTTGTAAGGCATGCTTCATTTTGGAAGCCTTCAGCCCTCTATCCCTTTGCTTTGGGTGTCTTTTATTGACATACAAAGTTCAAAATAAATTTATCTGAACACAGTCTCTATGTTGTGATCCTTTCAGCGGCTCACATGAATTCCCATATTAACTTGAAGTTATTACTACAACTATTCTTTTTTTAAAATTTATTTTGAGATGGCTGCATCTTTTTCTGTCTGAACAACTCCTTTTGTTTGAATAACTATCAACAGCAATTGTTTTTATTCTTTGCCTTGCAGGTACTACAGTGCAACCATTCTGCAGATGTCTGGTGTTGAAGACGATAGACTCGCAATATGGCTGGCTTCAGTTACAGCCTTCACGAATTTCATTTTCACACTCGTGGGAGTCTGGCTTGTTGAGAAAGTGGGCCGCAGAAAGCTTACCTTTGGTAGTTTAGCAGGTAGGTTCCTGGATGGACGATTCAGTTGTAAATTTTTTTTCTAACAATTACAAGTCAACCTTCCAAAATACAATACTGATAACACTTCTAATATTTGTTTCTTAGCCAAGCAATATAAAATTAGAGTTCTTATAGAGAAAAAAAAGAGCTTTTAATAAATGTTACAATATGTGACTAGAAACTACTAGAATGTGACTAGGATTGCAAGAACAATTTGGACCTACTGAGGGTAACATTTTTCTGTTATTATGAGTTCTGCTCAAAGGTGCAAAAGTGAAAAGTATAATCATTTTTTGTTCTATCCTTGTTTGAAAAACTTGGTATTCAGAAATTTGATTTTTAACATATGTTATATTTTTAAATTTGGAATAGTGTGGAAGTAAATTGGTGGCATTTTTTTTCCAAAGCTCTTTCAACAATGGAATATTAAAATCATATAATTTCTTTACAAAACAGAGACAGACACTTTTTATGTTTGAGACAGGTCTAAGTTCTGGCATAAATTCTAGTTGGTTAAATGTGTTTTTTGTAATGACTAAATAAGGCAAAATTTTCTTACTCTCAAGTATCTTTTGTGTTTAAATTCTGTCCATTTCATTTGTTACTTCTCTGTAACACAAGGGCTTTTTCACTTGACAGAATGGGACCCATCTTTGACATTGTCTTCACTTGGTTGCATCATATAATTTTCTAACTTTTTCCCAAATGTGCAAGCACATTCCTACCTATCAATTAGCTGAACTCTAATAGCTACTTTATAAGTTTATTGAGTAAAAATACATTTTTCCATTAAAATGTAAAGTTTCCAGGGCAGCATTTACTAAGTTCTGTTTTAACCAACTTATACCTAAAACATTGGTCTAACAGGACTATTTTAGGCACTCATCCCAGATTTAATGAGAAAATACATTCTGAATTTCAAACTCAGTTATTAGGCTTACCTCTGCTCCCCCAGCCCTCACCCTAGAAGGAAGAGTAGAACACTTCCACCTCCCGTTCTTGCTTAAGCAGTAGGAACCCTTGAGTCCAGTCACGTGAATTGGACTGCAGTAAAAGCACTGAGGGGAAGGTGAGAGATTGTCTGATTAAGGGGCAGAGGTGATGGCCAACAATCAAGCTACGTAGGGAACAGAGAGGGTAAGTGAAGAAAGGTAAAGGACAAATGAGGGTTTCAAAACCATACATTTGTAAACCTGTTGAAGAAACCAGAGTTGCTTAGCCTGGAGAAAAGACTAAAGGACAGCCTCATAGATACATTATTCTAGCAGACAGTAGTTGTTATGAGGACATAGATTTTTACTTAATACAAGAAAAATATTCCTAATAATCAGAGCTATCCAACAATGAATCGTGCTGTGTAATTAGGTCTATCTTTTAAATAGAATTTAAGTGCTTTTTCAATTTGGGATTTGGCTTTTGAGCTCTGGGAGATTAAACATTTTTTCTAGCAGCCTGTGTCCCTTCATTTGTTGTATTCCACTATAACACTTCTTATTAGTTCTGCAGAATTTAGGGGGCATTATCGATATAAAGCCTGACTGTGTGGGTTTGAATTTTGTAATTTTGGGCAAAGTTATATTTCCTCATCTATAAATGGGGATTAATTATCATCCTGACTTCATAGAATCGTGATGAGGATTTAACACATTTATATATGTATAACATTTAAAATACAACCTGACACAGAGTGAAGTGTTCAGAGCATTTTAGCTGTCACAGCATTATTATCGCCAAAGAGTGACCCTTTGTTGTTTTAACCATACTGTGAAATCAGCCTCCATTGTCATAATCTGGGAACTTCAGAAGTTTATACCTTCAGAAGGAGACTTACTGCTAAACAGCCTTGTTAGTGTGTTAATATTACTCCAGTGTGACCCTCACAATAGGTATTTTCTTTCACATTCTAATACTAATTGATTCAGTGTTAGTCATATTTTTATTTCAATATGTTTTTGTTTTATTCATTTGTATGTAACTATATATTTGATATTTTAATAGTGGTAAGTATTGGAATACTGTTTTTGGTGTGTTTTTTTCCTTTGGGACGGAGTCTCACTCTGTTGCCCAGGTAAGTGCTACAGCATCAGCCTCGCTCACAGCAGCCACAAACTCCTGGGCTCAAACAATCCTCCTGCCTCAGCCTCCCAAGTAGCTGTTCTTGTACGGTTCTTGTCACCACGCCTGGCTAATTTTTTCTATTTTTAGTAGAGACAGAGTCTCACTCTTACTCAGGCTGGTCTTGATCTCCTGAGCTCAAGCGATCCTCCCTCCTCCGCCTCCCAGAGTGCTAGGATTATAGGTGTGAGCCCCCACGCCCGACCTCTATTTTAAATTTCTTGAATTGGCTACAGCCTAGAATTTTTAAAACTTTGATTCAGTATTGTTCCCTATTTTGTGTTTTTATTATGATTTATTATATTGACTTAAAAATATAGAAAAATCTTAGCCGGGCGTGGTGGCTCACGCCTGTAATCCTAGCTCTTGGGAGGCTGAGGCGGGCGGATTGCTCAAGGTCAGGAGTTCAAAACCAGCCTGAGCAAGAGGGAGACCCCGTATTTACTATAAATAGAATGAAATCAATTGGCAACGATATATATATATAAATTAGCTGGGCATGTGACGCATGCCTGTAGTCCCAGCTACTCGGGAGGCTGAGCAGAAGGATGTTCAAGCCCAGGAGTTTGAGGTGCTGTGAGCTAGGCTGACGCCACAGCACTCACTCTAGCCTGGACAACAAAGCAAGACTCTGTCTCAAAAAAAAAAATATATATATATAGAAAATCTTATAAAAGTAATTTTTGAATAGGTATTCATTCTTTAAAAATTGCTACAAATAACCTATATTGAAGCCTGTACAAGAAAAACCTTTTTATACAAAGAAATATAAAATATGTAGGCCATGAATAATTTTAAATATAGAACATTTTGTGGTGTTCTAACTTTTTTAATATTTTCAAAACTTGGTCAGAGAACTGGCTTTTTATGGCCAGGTGCAGTGGCTCACGCCTGTAATCCTAGCACTCTGGGAGGTCGAGGCAGGAGGATCGCTCAAGGTCAGGAGTTTGAAACTAGCCTGAGCAAGAGCGAGACCCTGTCTCTACTAAAAATAGAAAGAAATTAATTGGCCAACTAAAAATACATAGAAAAAATTAGTCAGGCATGGTGGCGCATGCCTGTAGTCCCAGCTACTTGGGAGGCTGAGGCAGAAGGATCACTTGAGCCCAGGAGTTTGAAGTTGCTGTGAGCTAGGCTGATGCCACGGCACTCACTCTAGTCTGGGCAACTGAGTGAGACTCTGTCTCAAAAAAAAAAGAGAGAGAGAACTGGCTTTTTTGGTAAATATTACAAATTCAATGACAGCCTCTTGATTCTTTTAATAGTGGAAGATTTACATCTATGTAGCTTTATTAGTACTAAATCAGAAAGCCAGAAATACTGTGTTTTTCCCTGTATATATTTTAGTAGTGGAATATGTCTGAAGACATCACTCACAGGCTGTCTCCATCAGAATTACCAAGGTTACTTATTTTAAAATATGGATTCTTGGGCCCTGTCTTAGAACTGCTAAATTAGAATCTCTGAAGATGGGATCTGGAGCATATGTTTCTTAAAACTGCTCTAGTAGAGTCATAGGAAAGGAAGTTTTTGTGAGTATTGCTAACAATCTAAGCCCTGTACTGGGTAGTTAATGTAACTTATTACATCAGATATTATCTCTTAGTTTAACTAATAAAAACTTTATTAGTTAAACTATATAAATGCCCTCCCTAAATTCCATATTTTAAATATATTGTCTCATTCAAATAAATTGTGCAAATTAATGCAGCCATATTTTCTTTCTCCTTCCTTCCTGTAGCCCTTTTATTTATCCTCATGATGTCTGTGGCTGGAACAACACTCAGAAGTTCAAAAATGTTCTTATTTACCATCAGTTTGTCTATCAGAGACACAAAAATTGGCCTGTTATATAGGTGATATGCCTAATCACCAATCCTATACCTTAAAATCAAAGGCAAATATTCCACTTCCAAATACCAACTGGAATGACAAATATATACATGTGTTATGTCATTTCTGGCACCTTAAAGTCTTAAAAAAATGCTGCTCCTTTTAATAAATGCTTTTTCAACTGCTTTAGAAATAGTCTGTTGCATTTTAGTTTACTGATTTAAATGTTACGTGATCGTGATCGAACAAGTTTCTTGGCACTGAAAGGAATACAAGGAACACTCAATGTCATTCTGTTGCCTTTCATAGTTACTGCCGTGTTAGGCACTCAATAATCTTGGTTAACTTAATTGATTTTGAGATTCTCAGTAATCCTAAATGGCTTTTTTTTTTTTTTTAAAGAAAATCATTACCAATTTACTGTTTGGCTAACAAATGTATTTGTTTGAATTTCACTCTTATCATATCTCACAATGAATGTGCTGAGTTCTGATAATTTGTTTATACATTAGTAGCATTTTTTTTAATCCAGTGAAAATAGATGAAAGTAATTTTTTCAGAAGTGTTTTTTGTTGTTGTTGTTGTTTTTACCAAACTCAATCTGCTTTGGAAGAATGTTGTCAACTATTCTCTGATATAAATTTTGTTGTTGTTGTTTGTTTGTTTTTTAGGTACCACCGTAGCACTCATTATTCTTGCCTTGGGATTTCTGCTGTCAGCCCAAGTTTCCCCACGGGTCACTTTTAAACCAGTAGCTCCTGCAGGTCAGAACACTACTTGCACAAGATACAGGTGAGATTTCATTATGTTCCCCTTCCTTAACCTAACTCTGGTAACTTATGTGTTTGCTTTTAACTTTTCTGAAATTTAAAGAGAGATGAGTAGGAGCTTGCTGGGTATCTATCCATTCTTATGAGTGAAGGGAAGAAAATGCGAAAGGTGGTGGGGAGGGGCCACCAGGAAGAGGAGCAAAGACATGAGTATAAGGAATCAGGGAAAAAGTGAATTATTAGGCACAGTTTAGAAGCTGTTTCTGTGGAAATTAAGATTGGGGATTGATACTGACTCTAAGCAGGAATACATTGAAACTGTTTTAGACCATCTATGACTCAGTGGCGTCTATTATCCCAGGTGAAATAAATAACTTTAATTAGTAATCAAAGTCTTGCAAGAAGCACATGTCCTCTGACTAGTGTGACAATTAACCTTCATTGAGTTCCATGGATATCCTCTTATTCACTTAAACAGAAAAGAAAGCTTCCCCCCAGTATTGTAGCTCTTCCTAGGGGTCAGGAAGTAGAAAATGATGATGGAAAAAAGTGAAATATTCTAATGGCAAGCTGCAGGCCTAAGAGCTCATTAAGTCTAATGGTGTACACACTGTGTGATGAGTGGATAGAAAAGTGAGTGTATGTAGAGATGGACTGAAGAACACATAAATGAAAGATCAAATAATTGAACAGATCAATTAATATATATAGCAACAGAGTTTCAAAGTTTTTTTACTTGATTTTAGCCATCAAAAAGGCTAACAACAACCCCTTTAAAACACTCATGCCATGAAAGTAAGACCTAGCTTTAAAAAAATAAAGTTATATTCCTTTATCCTCGATTTGATGGGCACAAGTCTCCAAATTTGATGAGCTAAATGGATTTATTAAGGTCAACCGCTCTTGTTATGGAAATTCAAATGTTACATTTATACACCCTGAATTCTACTTGCGTATCCACGGCGAGAATTCTAATTGACGCATGAATATAATAAATTTATGGCTTCTTATAATAACACAAATGAGGAAGATAAGTGATTATCTTCATGCCATTGGTCCCCAAATTGTGTATCTACTTGCACTTTGGAAAAATAGCACGGTTTACTAGCACCTCCTTTTTTTTTTTTTTTTTTTTAATTATTTTTTTATTTGGCCCAATTCATGGGGCGTACAGCATTTTAGGTTTCGAATAAATGGCCCATTTCCCCCCCTCCACCCCCCAAAGATAAGTTGAGTCTCCCAAATCATGACCATCCCCAAGAATGGTGCACATCTCCTCGACTATGTATGTATATAACCCGCCCCTCCCCGCCTCCCACCTGCCAATACCCTATTACTGTGCACCTATGGTGTCCACTTAGGCTGCTACTCAGTTATCCAGTTATAGCACCTCGTTTATGCTTACTAAGCTTCTTTTTTTATTATTTGATTATTGGGTTTACTGATTTTTTTTCGTAGCTTCTAAATGACTTAACAGATTTAAAAGGGGAATTGATTTAATGTCTATCTATCATGTACTGTTGGTGAGCGGCTACAAGCTTGTTCTTAGTTTTAGGAAAGTTAATAGGTGGGCTTCTGGCCCTCATAAAAGTTAAATGTCTGCGCCCATTGACTCTGCACTTACACTTGTAGAGATCGGTAGACTACGGTGATGAGTATCTAATCCATTCTGACTAGAGTAGAAGATTTAAGAAAATGAATGGTTCAAGAATAGTGGTTCTTCTTTAATTCAGTGTACATTGGTCTCATACGAAGCAGTATGGTAGGTTGAGGACAAAAATAGTGTAGGTTGGAGCTCACAAATGGCTTTAGACCCAAGAGATTGACTATCCTAAATAATTTGCAGTGTGAATGTACCCTTTTTAGAATATTTTAATTTTTTAATTGATGATATTTTATTATAAGGCCTGTTAGATTCTGTTAACATGGATGTATTAAAGAACATCTTTCAGATCTGTGTTTTTTTTTCTTTTCCAGTTTTTTGTTGTTGTTGTTATTTTTCTGTTTTTGAGACGGAGTCTCACTTTGTTGCCCAGGCTAGAGTGAGTGCTGTGGCGTCAGCCTAGCTCACAGCAACCTCAAACTACTGGGCTCAAGCGATCCTGCTGCCTCAGCCTCCCAAGTAGCTGGGACTACAGCAGATCTGTTTTTAACACATAAAAACTGTGTACAAAGATAAAGATGTAAGCAAGTTGCTGTAGAAAAAATGCAGCCACCTGTATAAAAACTGTCACAGGGCACCAACTAGAAGAAATAACTCTCATGTGGGTATTATCTGAATCATATATCTTTATGAGAATATGCATACATATTTCTAATATGGCCTTTAGCTCCACACTCTCAAATTACCAATGTTCTATCCCTTTCATTTCCAATTAAATATATTTTCTCATGAGAGATATCTAAGCTTTGAGGAATCAAATGTTTTTGTAGGTATCACTTCACTCAAATACTTGACATTATTGATAGTGTGATCTCAATATATGGAAATCATTATCATAATATCTTTTAAAGTAGCCAGATATTTCCTAAGTGTACAATGTACAGCTTTAAGATACCTTGGCTCTAGGGTTTTAATCTTATTCACTCATTCATTCCTCATTCATTTAAATGTACTATGGAGTACCTACCATGGGATCATGGTAAGGATGAATTAATATGTAGAACATGCTTAAAACAGTGCTTAGCACATAATAAACACTCAATAAACATTATTAGAATTAATAAAGCCTATAATAGGAAATGAGATTGGGATGATGGGACTCAGAAAAGACTACCTTAAGAATGGCATGTTGGCACTGAGCATGTATAAAGGGAGAATGGAGCATGTATAAAGATGGTGCAGGGCAGTAAGGAACTTGGCAAATGCAAGAAACTGAAAGAAGATTCCTAAGGCTAGAGAAGAATAAGATAAGGTTATTAATGTAGAACAGAGCTAGATCATTCACAATCTTAGATGTTTTTGATCTCCAGTCCAAAAACACAAACCCACTGAGAAGTTTTAAGCAGGGGAATTCCTTGACCAAATTTTCAATCCTAAACTGTTTCTCTGGGAGTGTAGGTGCACAGAGTGCTTGTGTTCATATATAGGGAGACAGTTCTTAGAGTTGTCCGTGAGACCATAGTTACCTGAATTATGATGTTGATATTGGAGATAAACAGGTAGACTCTCAATATATTCAGGAGAGAAAAATCAAAAAAATTTAAAAATAAGTAATTGATTAAGTAGCCCAGGAGTTTGACGTGGTAGTGATCTATGATGATGCCATTGCACTCTAGCCCAGGTGACAGAGTGAGACCCTATCTCAAAAATAATAATAATAAGTAATTGATTGACTGTGGTCATAAGAGAAAGGAGTCTTTGGATGCTTCCCATTTGCCATAAGACCAGCAAGATGGTATAGATCATGGAAATGAGATGGGGTAATTAGATGAGGCAAGACCGTGGGTATAATGTTGGACATGTTGAATCTTAGGTGTCCGTGAAACATCATCAGTGGGGATACTGGGTGGGTATTTGGGAGTACTGGTCTGTAGTTGAAGGAGAGCTCTGGAGTAGAGAATTATTATCTATACATGATAATTAAAGCCATGGACTTGGATGACATCTGGTTTATAACCAAAATCTTTACTGAGACTCTCACTACCTTTGCGATTCCACTAGTAGTTTGCTAATCGGATGGACAGTACTGCTCCAGTCTTCATGCTTTCTCCCCCAGCATAGAATCACAGACTATTCGTTCTGGAAGGCCTTTAATGTAACCTGATTCCAGTCTCTCATCTTACACTTGAGCAAACTGAAATTCAAATAAGTCACATTCCCTTCCCTAGGCCACACTGACTGACTGCTTATTCTTTAGACTTCTCTTGTCTGGTCCCCATATGGACCATCTTTTTTTAGATCATACAGTTCTTCAGGATTTTTTGTTAAGTAAAACCAATGATGCAACAGCTTCTCTTTCTACTCCTTTCAGACCCTTCTTGGGTCTTTCCTTGCACCAGGTACATAGTTTATCAGTTAAGATGACTTGGACAGTTAGGTAATTTTGCTAATTTAGTGATGATATCTGGCACATTAACTCCTCAGTATGGTTCTTACTGTATTTTAGACCTTGTTTGAATAGAAATTGACAAAAGAGACTGTGCATCTAAGTATTGTACTTTTTCCTTTTATTAATAATAATTCTCAATTAAGAGTCTTACTCAGAGTCATCTGTGGAGGTACTTAAAGCTTCCCGCCTCCCATTCCCACAGGTCTGCCTCACCAGGGCAATGGAGTGTGGTTTAGAACACTCCCCAGGAGATGCTAGTCTATCTTCCATTAAGAACCACTGCCATAATGCTTCAATTTTTTAAAAACTACCAGCTTTATTTATTTTTATTTTTATTTTTTTGGCTTCTTGAACATTGGTAAGCTAAGAGTACAAAGATTATCCATGTGCTTCTTTTTCTATATGTTAATATTTTAATGTTTTCCACTTCAAATGAAGTTCCAAATTGACAAACTCTGGCTTCATCTATCGACCTCCCTATGGTGGTAACGCTAGTTTTGGGAAACAGTATGCTTCTCATTAATTAGTCCTTCAAAGTTCATTTCCAAGAAAAATAATTTTGCATTTACTACATTGCCTTTTCTTCTCCTTTTTCTAGCTTCGTGTGATTTAACACACATCATTGACATGGGCACTTTAAGACTGTCAGATTCAATCATAAAACTTTTATGCAACCTTAGAAATGTGCAAAAACCCTATTAGCCTCTGTTCTTTCCCAGTATTTGACCTCCTGGTGGTAATGGATTCATTTTCAGTAATTCTTAGCATCTTGACAGTGAATATAATATTATACTGTGACTGGAACTTTCCATTATTGTCAAAAAAATTCTTTTGTGCTTACTGATTTCCTTTAAAATTAACCTGTTTTAATTTAGGAGGGGCTGGTGGTACAGGCTAATGTGCTTTGAGATTACTATTAATAAAACTAAGCAGAAAATATGTTGTATGTGTTGACTAATATCCATAGAGT